CTTTGTTTTCTTAGCATTATGCGATTTTTCTTATCGCGACGTGTTATTTGTAACACTTAATTTTTCTGGTTTTATGTCTGTATCGCGCCAGGCGATCTATTTGTTTTATTTCGGATGTTTTCTTGGTATATTCTATCTTTATTAGTAAAATGATTTTCCGGGAATTTTGCTTGTGTTTCCCTGTACATCGGAAGCGCTGTGTGAGCCCCCAAAATGAAGAAGCAACGGAGAAACTTTCTACTAACTGCCAAGAAGCTCAACAGAATACTACGGCAAAATTGGAAAACAACTCAATAAATAATGAAGTAATTCATGGCTATGTATTTTCTTCGAAAAATTTGGCTAAATTGCAAACATAATAATTGAAATTCCATTCAAAAACCCTTTCGCCGAACTTTTTCAATTGTTTTTTTTTATTTGAAAGCGATAACTCTACCTAGTAACAATCGATCAACATAATGGATCGTTTCAATCAGCTGCTAAGTTGCTAAATAATTCATACACAAAACAAAACAAAGCAAAAAAAAAAAAACTAATACTTATTTTGTTTTCGATTTTCGTATAGTTGTATGATTTAAAAAGTAGATATAGTAAAAATTTTTTGCCGAAAATTTATTTAAACGTTCACACGAAATTATTATTAAAAACTTGAAATTGCTAAAACCCAAAAGAGCAAAACGTCGAAAAATAATTATTTAAAAAAAAAAAAATTTTTTTTTAATCAATGTAATCATTGCGAAAAGAAGTAATTCATTCTTTAATTGCGGCGCATTAGATGGTTCCATAAAATTTTTATCCACCCTGATCAATGATGTAATTGGTTTCGTCCAAGGACTTGTATTTATTCGATGGGAAATTAGTAAACCCTCGCAATTTTACCCTAACCCTAGCATATTAATATGGCCGGGTTTCATTTTGTACTTAAGGGGGGTGAGTAACTTACCCAGGTGTTAAATAGATTATTTCTTAAAATAATAATAAAAAATTGTTGTTTTAATACTAAAAAAAACATTGATCTAAACTAAACTATTTATAGTATCAAGATTCAGTTCTATACATTTACCAAATTTAAATCATTTAATAAATCCTGGCATAATGTATGGCTAAAGGTTATATTGTAAAGATAAAAATATAAAAATACATACAACTTTGAATTTATAATATGCAGTCTAGCTATTTAAAAACACACATTTGATTAATAAAGATTTCGTCTGGATACGTATAACCGTATACAAGACCTGGGTCTGTTACATTTCACCAATTTTAAACCTTTAATAGGTCCCAGGTGCATTTGACTCCATTGAGATTTCCATTGGGTTCATTGCCAACTCTGGCCCACAGATCACGCACTGAAATGATTTGAAATGCACATACACTTTAGATTTATAACAGACAATCTAGATTTTTGAAAAAAAAAGTCGTATTCATATGTGGTCGTATCTGGGGGTACATATAATTGCATGGTGTTACTATCGAATGGGCATTTTACAGGCTATTTATAGCACTTGTTTAAATTTCAAATTTTATCGTGAATAAGCACCCCTTACTATGATAAGCATATTCACTGGTAAGCCTTTGAGCTAAATACATGGTTTAATCACAAAATTCAAATTGCTTAAAAAAAATATATATATTAAATTTTTATATAAAAAGCTTGCGCAAACTTAAATTTAAAATATTTGACTAGATTGTTCGCATAATAAATCATTAAGACTCATAATTCAATTAATACGTTACATACTCACGCATACGCATGCAGATATTACGGTTTTCATTCGATGCTGGCTACTATTTACTATACAAAACTTTATATGATACTGTACAATTTCAGACTCCGGCCCTATTCGGAAATAGTAAAGATAATGAACTGCTAAATAGAGGTCTATTTGTAAACCACATTCTACGCATTTGGTAAGTCTTTGCTTAATTAAATCGAACTTTTTTTTGTGTATTTGTATTGCATGCATGTTTATATTGCATTTTGGCGAAATAAAGAATACGTACTACTACTCGTTTGTGCAGAGCGAGCACATAAGCTAAGTCCTAATAAATATGAAAGATTCTTTTTTATAACTCATTTAATGTAGTGCAAGTTAACAACGAATTTGCTGCAACCGTAACTTACAATATGATCTATAGTTCATTGTTATGACTAATTTTGTATATATAATTTATCCTAAATTGGAGAAACAAACCGGAAATAGGATCTAAGGTTCGAATTTACAATGACATCCGAAGAAAATCAAACTTCTAAATTCTGCTTCTTCACAGTTGAATCTGATAAGATATTAAAATCCATTATTATTATTATTTATCGCTATACGTACGTACAATGACTCCGCTAAAAAAACTACCAAAATTGGGAGTAAATGTAAATATTTTGATTGGCTTCGACTCATCATTGTTATTAATATTGACTAATCCAATTTGGTCATTACATTCACGGTATACGTTATCAAGTGCCAAAAAAACTTGCAGTACCAAATAACAAATATCTGGGCGTAATTATTTCATATATAGTAAATATTACATAATATATAATCGGAAATGATGCAAGTTCACAAGGTTCATGAGATTAAAGAAATATTAATCATTATTAATAAATATGATTTGCCTCAATTGTAAATGTTTTGCTTTATTTTAACAAATCGATTTCTCTAATAAAAATTTAAGACGCTAAATAAGTTCTAGTCATTATACGTACGTACCTTAAATCAAACTCGAATCACCGGTTACTTTAATTTTTCTGTGCTTCTGGAAAATTCTTTAAAAGGTTACTCATTGATTTTGATACATTCCATTCAATGTACAGTTGAAAAGGGGCTATGGGCAATAATAATAATAATAATAAATTTTAATAATTAACGATATTAAAGGATTCTTTCATTAAAACGTGAATTATTTAATTTAAAGTTTGAATGAATTGCCGTGTTTAAACAATTCAATAATGAATTATGGCTCCGATATAAAAAAAGAATAAAAATAGAGAAAAGGAAATTTAAATGTAGGGATAGAATTTACCCACACACCAAATCGACCCAAAATTATAAATCGTATGACTCGGCACTATTTCTAAATACGTAGTAAATGCCAACAATCTAATAGAATGGCAAAATGGCGTCGAAATATTAAATGCATGTGAATCACTCATACATATTATATCGATATTTTTAAACATTTTCTAAAAATTTTCTTAAAGCTCTATATTTAGAAGCCAAGGTAGTTTTTCTCCTATGTACACACATTGTTGAAAAGACCTTTTTCATAGTATGCGTGAAGACTGGCGAACATCTTTTTTTTAGTGAATTAGAAACTGGAACAATTATATTATTATGTAATGTGTTGTGCAGAATATCAATTTGTTACACTAATTTTGTACGAATGCTAGTCAAATATTGAGATCGCTTTTGTTTTTATTATGATTTTCGGTAAAACAATATCCGTCAAAATTTAACCGACAAATTTCTTTGAAGTTCATTTATGTTGGTGTTTATATGAGGTTTTGAGAGAGATATATAGTAAAATTGCTCACTGTTAACTTTTTGTTAAAACAAAAAGCGTATCTCTCTTAAGCAAATTTTTTGAAAAATGGTCACCATGTTCTCTGATCTCAAAATAAATTGATTGCACCGCAGTTTGTTCATGTGAAAATAGAATCTTAATGGCGATATAATATTACAGAATTCTGCATGATCATTACGTGATCAGTACTTTTGGGGTCGCTTGGCTAATTCGAAGTCGGCGGTATTATTCGCCGAAAATCCCGGTAATTAATGCTATAATTTACGTACGTACGTATTTATCTATTTATAACCGCATAGAAGCTTCGGCTTGTTACTTTATACTGATGCCGCCAAGTCAAGTTTATTACTTATCAAATTTAATACTCCGATGACAGAATTTCCTTGGCGGCACGCATATAACGTTAAATTCGTACAGTACACACATATCAAATATATAGTTTTTCATATTGCGTAACTTCACATCACATAATATGTCATCAATTGTGTTTGTTTATAATTTTTTTTTGGTTTATTACTATTTTTAGAATTACATAGAATCTATTCAGTAATTACATTGCTTCGTTGTTCATAACATTATTGCCAAATTTTTGGCTGATTGGAACGCCAAATATTCGCTATACTTGAAAAATCAGTAGTACTAATATAATTAAGGCTAAATTAACCTTTCTAATTAAGTTGTTCACGATTTGGAGAAAAGAGCCCGTTCTATATTTGATTATTATTTAACTGATGAATAAGATGGAATTTATATTTAATATTAGTCAAAAATTTCTTATATAAGTGGCCTTTGGAACCTTTTCAATTCTACACGATTAGCTTGTTCATTAACTCTTCGTCTACGATCAAATTCAAATTTACATTTTGCCTACGATCAAATTCAAATTTACTTTTTGCCTACGATCAAATTCAAAATTTTAAATTTCAAAGTTTTTATCAAGCTTTATTTCAATCATGAAGTTCAACTTTACTACCGTAAGCTTAACGCTCCTCGCTGCCTCTACATTGGCAGTTCCAACTCCAAGAGGTATTAATTTTTTTATAACAGCAATTTGATTATAATTATGGTCGTATACATTCAACTTACTTATCATCTTATTACGTTTGAGAAGACACCACGAATGACTTAGGTAATATTCGTATATTTTTACTTATATTTTTACGTTAGACGATTTGATTAATGTGTTATTTATTATTTATTTTGATAGATTTGGTCTTTGAATACAAGCGTAGTCCTGATGCACACGAAGGAAAAAAGCACGAAGGCCATCATGACGAAAAGAAAGGTCATCATGAAGGTCATCACGAAGAAGGTCATCACGAAGGTCACCATGGCGGAAAAAAAGATCATAAGAGAGAAGTAAAGAGAGGTCATAATGGAGGTCATAATGGAGGTCATCATGGAGGTCATAATGGAGGTCATCATGAAGGTCATCATAATGAAGGTCATCATGAAGGTCATCATAATGAAGGTCATCATGAAGGTCATCACGAAGGTCATCACGAAGGTCACCATGACGGAAAGAAAGATCATAAGAGAGAAGTAAAGAGAGGTCATAATGGAGGTCATCATGGAGGTCATCATGAAGGTCATCATGGAGGTCATCACGAAGGTCATCATGAAAGTCATCACGAAGGTCACCACGAAGGTCACCACGGCGAAAAGAAAGATCATAAGAGAGGAGAAAATGAAGGTCATCATGGAGGTCATCATAATGAAGGTCACCATGGAGGTCATCATGATGAAGGTCATCATGAAAGTCATCACGAAAGTCACCACGAAGGTCACCACGGCGAAAAGAAAGATCATAAGAGAGGAGAAAATAAAGGTCATCATGGAGGTCATAATGGAGGTCATCATGAAAGTCATCATGAAGATCATCATGAAGGAAAAAAGGACCATAAATATTAAAGACGATAAAAGATTTAAGATAGAGCTTTGGTCAAAATACAATGAACATTATTTAATTTGAAGGAAATCATTAATGTATAGTATCCGTATCCGAATCTTTATTTATTTAATTTGTAAATCTACTGTAATTAAATTATTTTGTATTAGCTTAAAAAAAAAATAAATTATTTATTCAAATCTTTGTTTCTAATCTCATCGATTAAGTAATAAATAACTGCAACCAATGAAACCTTTGATTCATTAGCAGTAAAATGAAGTTCTCGAGGCCCTGAAGTAATATTCAAAATAATAGGAATGTTCATGTACCAAAATTGTGCTAATTAATTATGATGCAAATCATCAAAGCATCCAAAATTGTAACTCAACGAGTATTTAAAATTTTGCAAAAAAACAATACGTAGCTTTGTAGCTAGGAACAAGATCCATATTTTTTCCTGAGGTTTACACTATTCTGGAGGAAATACGATTTAAAAAAATATATCAGAAATTTTCGAAGACTAATAATCGGCAAGGCCTTATTTTATTAGTTAGTTCCCTGAAATTGTTAACCTTTAAATAACTTAAGTGACGCAGGTTTAATGCAATTAGATCATTTGCACCATGTATTGTTCGGACTCGAGTCAACTCGTAGGTTGGTTGATTTTGTTGATTTTTTGAGAGTAATTAAGTGTTTAAGTTGTAAGTAGTGTTATGGATTAAAAATTACATATAACGAATTGTACATATTTTCTTTATTTTATTTTGTTTAGTCTATTTTATTTTTCTTATTTTCGTGTTTGACATGTCGTCACGCGCCAATTCATTTTGATAACAATGTCCAATATAGTATATTCATTATTATATTATATATATATATATATATTTAATATTTAAGGTGAGACCTTGCTCTTATCTTTATTAAACTTAATGAAAACTTTTTACATGATTGAAAAAGGTTTTATATTTTAAGCCTAGTGCTAAGAATAAGAACTCAGACATATGACTAAGAGAACTTAGAAACTAAGTATACCTAGTAACTTATCTGCGGCCTAAACCTATATATTATATTATATTATATTATATATATTATATATATATATATTATAATATAATATATATATATATATATATATATATATATATATGTATATTATATTATATATTACATACTACAATTTCACTATCAACCCATAGATCAATTCTTTATTTGTTAATTCATAGTACTGCATATCATACAAAGTTCAACAGATATTCATATTAGACAAAAATGAGAAGGATAGAGTTGAATGAATAAAATCAATGTGCTTTTCTTGAAAATCATATTATATAACACAGTAAACTATATGTTCCATATCACAATTTTCAAGGCAAAGACCCAGATGTCAAATAACCTTTTTCATAAACAAAAGTATAATAGAAAATCTTTTATCTTCTTCTTTCTTCTAATAATACAATTTTTCATCAATGTGTAGATCTTTTCACCTTTTGGCACTCCCAACCCTGTTGATCTTTTTGTCATCCACCATTCATTACCAACCTATAGATTGAATCTTCAACTATTGTATTTCAATATTTGTGAATATGGCTAGTTCGAAGGAAATGATCATTCTTTTTTTTGATCTGTTCGATCAATGTTGATTATTAGTTAGGATCTTTGAAAACTTGAAAGTTCAATAGTAGACCAATACTACAATTATTCAGCTCAATGCCTCAACCTGTGCCATTCATTAATAGTACTGCCACTTTCTTTTTGCATTTAAATGAGTATCATTTCTAGCATTGACAGTGTTTCAAATTGAGCTGGCTCAATTAGGCTTACTTGATATTTCCATTGGCTTATTAGGACTTATTTAGTTTTTATACTATATAATATATAAAAATATCATTTATTTATATAATTTATATGATATTCTTGAATATATCATATGTTATATGGCTTATAAATCAAATAAGTCTTAAATAAGCCAATGGGGTGTAGAATAAGCCTAATTGAGCTGACTCAATTCGGAACATTGAGTATTAATCATCTTTAACTCAAATAAAAAATTTATTACTGTTTCTACCCATTACTATAATACTGCGTACCTGATAAATTTATCCTAATGGCCATTTTTGAAAAATAGTATAATTTGTCAAAATCTATTCTTACGAACTGTGCGTATATGTGTATATATACTTATGGTCCATATTATTTCTTTTTCCTAACATTTTCCCCAACATTCATTTGCCAGGAATAGTGAGTAATAGAATTTTTTACAGCAACTCATAGTAGTTCACAATAATTTCAATGCAAATTAACTTAATGTTAACTACATGCTGTGTTTTAGAATTTCTAACAGTAATTTGCGATAGGAATCATAGTAATTCCAATATGAATTAACTCAACCATAACCACATGCAGTGTGTTTTAAATATTCGAGCAAGGTCTGTATCAGAATTTTTACAGTAGCTCACGATAGAAATTATTCTAATTCCAATACAAACTAACACAACCTTAACTACATACTGTATATTACCAAATAGTGAGTACATTATATAAAAAAGTTTTTACAACACTGTATCTCATGATAATTCTAATGCAAATTATATATCATCAGTATAGCAAACTCTGTAGCAGAGGTTTTTATGGAAACTCATCTCATTGATTCTAATACAAACCAATTAAACCTTAACTACATGCTGTATACAGAATAGTAAGCCTGTACCAATTTTTATAGTATAAATCATTTTAATTCTAACACAAACCAACTCATCTCATACAATGTTCACCGGAAGTTATATAAAGAATTTTTATAGTAACTCATGATAGAAATTATAATAGTTTTATTTCCATCCTTAATCACATACTGTATGTTATTGGAGTAAAGAATTAAGTTCTGTAACAATTTTTTATAGTAACTCATAACAGAAATCACAATAATTTCATTGCAAACATACAGTGTACCACTGTAACAAAGTTTTTTATAGTAACTTATAAGAAAAATCATGTTAATCCGAATGCAAACTAACTCAACCACATATTGTATGCCACCAAAATAGTAAGTTTTTAATGATTTTTTACAGTAGCTCATGATAAAATTTTAATGCAAATTAATTCAAATACATACTATGTCTTACTAGAATAGTAAGTTTGTACCATGCTTTTTTACAGTAATTCATGTTAGAAATCATGATAATTCTGATATGTACAAGTTAATTACTTCTGTACTTACTGTGTTCACTGGAATAGCAAGTTTTGTGCCAATTTTTTATAAAAAAAAACATAATAATTCCAAACAAATTAACTTTACATATTGTGTGTTACCAATATAGTAACTCTCAATAGAAATTATGATAATTCTAATTCCAAACTAACTCAATTTTAATTACATGCTGTATATTACCAAAATAACGAGTAAGTTCTGTAACAGAATTTTTTACAGTTAACTCACAATAGAAAACAAAATAGTTCTAAAACTACTAACTTAATCTTAACTGCATACTGTGTATCATTTAAATAGTGAGTAAGTTCTATAACAAAATTTTTCTAATACAAACTAAATCAAATACTGTGTGCTATTAGAGTGGCAAATAAGGTTTGTAGCAAAAGTTTTTACAATAAATCATAATAGAAATTACAATTATTCCAAGACAAACTATAGCTCAATCACATATTGTGTTTCATTAAATGATAAGTAAAGCTATAACAAAATTTACAATAACTCACAACAAAAATTATAATAATTCAAATTCAAATTAACTCAGTCTTATTATATACTATGCCTTACCAGAGTAGCCAACAAGTTCTATAATAAACTTTTTTACAGTAACTCAAAATAAAATAATAATTTATATAAACTAACTCTCTTAATAGTATTCTATATACCACTAAATAATGAGTAAGTTCTGTAATATAATTTTTATAATAATTTTAAAATAATCTTAGCCATATACTATGTGGGCTAGGTGCTGAGAAAAGAAACCAAATTGACAAAACAAAAGATTTTTGGCAAATCAATTTTTTGTTGTAGATCTTATAATAAATCATATGAAAATGCAAACTTTAAAGAGCAATATAGCAAAATTTTATTAATACAACTACTTTTGTGTCTTAAATAAGAAATGATCCTAATCTTATTCTAAATCAATTTATGTAAAAAATAGCTTTGTCAATTTGGTCCCTTTTTCCAGCACCTAGCCCATGTGTTACTGGAATAGTGAATAGTAACTCTTGGAAACCTTAATAATTCTAATGAAAACTGGCTCAATCTTAATTACATACTGTGTGGCAATATAATAGTGAGTAAGTTTTGTAACTGAATCTTTTACAGTAGCAATACAAACTAATTTTTAATTTGTTACCAGAATGGTAATCTATCATAGAACTTTTGCAGCAACTTATAATGGAAATTATAGTAATTATAATGTAAACTAAATCTCAACTACATGCTGTATTACTTAAATAGCAAGTTCTGTTTTTACATTAATCAATAATAGAATTTATGATTGTATAACGAGTAAGTTCTATACCAAATTTTTTTTATAATATAAAATAACTAAATATTAACTAAACACAGTGTGTTATCTAGATAGCAAATAAGTTCTATAACAGAATTTTTTACAGAAACAATTCAAACCAATTCAAGCTTAACTATATACTGTATGTCACTAGAATAGCAAGTAAGTTCTATAACAAAATTTTTTATAGTACTTACAACACAAAATAAGTCAAACTTATTTACATACTATGTATTACCAGAATAGTGAGTATGTTCTGTACCAAAATTTTTACAATAACTCTTAATAGAAATCATGATAATTTGAATAAAACCAACTCAACTTTAACTACATATTTTGGCACTAAAATAGTAAGTAAGTTCTATATTTTTTACATTAATTTACAATGCAAATTAGGGTTGGGCAAATTTTGTAAGTTACATTTTAACTTACATAATTTTGCAAATTTACACTAAGATATACATAGTGATTTTAGATATAACTTACATATAAGTTATATCAAAATTTTAAAACTTACACAAATC